AGAGCATTCACTGTATATCGTATAAAAAGTTTTTTTTTTAATGTCAGTACCATTATGTTACGTAGTATAGATACAAACACCAAATTGATAATGCAATGGTTGTAATTGGTTTAAAAACATTTTTTTTTAACGTCTTTTCATAGATATTTTGAGTGCTTGTGCTTATAAGATTTAATTACGTTTGCTTGCAGCTGCACTCGAAGAGGAACGCACCAGTCCGACGCAAGCGTCCGCCGGCGCCACCACCGGCAATTCCAGCACCAATAACAATACCAACAATAATAATAATAATAACAACAACAACAACAGCGCTGCGAGCGGCGCTTCTGCTACTGCTGCTGGTGGCGATGCAGAGAAGAGCGAAGCGCTAAACAGCAAACAGCGATACCAGATCAAGCATCGGGAACTGTTTCTATCGCGACAAGTTGAGTCGATACCCGCCACACAAATCCGAGGGAAGTGCTCCGTGACGCTCCTCAACGAAACGGAGTCACTGCAAAGCTATCTCAATAAAGATGTGAGTTGTAGTGTCTTAGGAATTAAAATGATTAATAATTTAAATTATGCTTTTAATTATTAAAATAATTGCTGTTTTTGCCTGATACAGGACACATTCTTTTACTGTCTGGTCTTCGATCCGAATCAAAAAACGTTGCTTGCCGACAAGGGCGAAATACGTGTCGGCAGTCGCTATCAGTGTGATATACCCGCCAAGCTAAAAGATACCGCCACAGATGAACGTAAACTGGAGGAGCTGGAGTCGTTGGTATGGACGCCGGAGCATAGTTTGACCGATCGTAAAATCGATCAGTTTCTTGTCGTGTCGCGTTCCATTGGCACCTTTGCCCGCGCCCTCGACTGCAGCAGTTCTGTAAAACAGCCCTCATTGCATATGTCCGCAGCGGCCGCCAGCCGAGACATAACGCTGGTGAGCAACAGAATGAAAATATCCTAGTCGATTTGCCAATCCTCCTAATTACATATGTATTTCATCTGCTTTCAGTTTCACGCCATGAACATTTTGCACAAACACGATTATTCAATTGATGAGGCCATGTCCTCGCTAGTTCCTTCCACTGGGCCAGTACTCTGTCGCGACGAAATCGAAGATTGGAGCGCATCGGAAGCTAATCTCTTTGAGGAAGCGCTAGATAAATATGGCAAAGACTTCAATGACATACGACAAGATTTTGTAAGCAAACTGAACCAATGATCTTTTCAAAACTATCTAACAATCTTTTTCTTTTAACAGCTTCCTTGGAAAACGCTTAAGCAGATCATTGAATACTACTACATGTGGAAGACCACCGATCGGTATGTGCAGCAGAAGCGCGTAAAGGCCGTCGAGGCGGAACTCAAGCTCAAACAAGTCTATATTCCGCAATATAATAACAATGGCAAAGGCAACGGTGCCAGCGTGAAGGCGGGCAGCGGCGGTCCTGGTGGCATCTATAATGGCACCACCAATGGCGGAGCCGACTTATCCAACAATGGCAAACCTTGCGAATCGTGCGGGACAACTAAATCATCACACGTAAGCCAGAACAAAGTGACAAAGTGCAAACAGTAATTTCTAATCCCAAACCTTTTTATTATAGTGGAATTCCTTTAGTAATGGTCATCTACCATGTCGCCTGTGTCAGAGTTGTTGGGACTATTGGCGAAAGTACGGCAGTATGAAATCGGCACATAAGGGCGATGCTAACGATGGTGAGGCTAAGAAAAAGGCTGCCATTGCAGCGACTCCAGCTGCAGCGTTAGCTGCCACAGGCGCCACAACAGTGGTCGATCTTAACGAAGATGAGAAAGTTAGTGATCTTAGCAATCGTCAATTGCACAGGTACGAGTATCTAATAAATATCAAAGATTAAACCATTAATAAAATAAATTTTAGGTGTTCCATTGTCAACTGCGGGAAGGAGTTCAAGCTGAAGACCCACCTGGCCCGGCATTACGCGCAAGCGCATGGCATTGCCATCAGTTCGGGTTCGCCGCGGCCCATCATGAAGACGCGCACTGCCTTCTATTTGCACACGAATCCCATGACGCGTGTGGCACGCGTTGTTTGTCGAAACATTGTGAAACCCAAGAAAGCGGCGCGACAGAGTGCATACGCAATCAATGCGCTGTTGGTCAAGCAAGAATGTAAATTGAATTATACTCTTCTATGTATATTGCAATCTTTTATTGTGATACCTTTGTAATTGTAGTTACGAATCGTATTAGCGGCAAATCACAGGCGGATATAAAAAAGATGCTTTTGCTCAAGCCCAAGGAACGTGGCAGTGTCACAAAAATTGCAAATCGTTTGGGCGCCCCTGGCAGCGGTCCACATGAATGGCTGGTGCTGACGCCCAAAGATAAAATGCCACAGCCCATTGTTGTCTCATTCCCCAAGCCGCCCAAAGCACCAGACGGCAGTTTACTCTACGAGCGTGTGCCCAATAAAACGCCCGATGTGGTGGCCGTCCCAGTCGCGGCTGACAAAGAACTAACCATAATTCCAGCGCAAGCAACGTCTACGATACGCAAGCGTGCGCACGAGGAACAGCAACTCAATGGCACCGAAGGTAAATCAAAAGTTATCTACTTCCGACATATAGATTCATTAATAATTTTATGCTTACGCAACTGCAGTGACCATTGTGCCCAGTGGACCGCCTGCCAAACGCCCTAATAAGGATCCCATGCCTTCGCATTGCCCCAGTCCGGAGCAGTTTGCCGCCATGATGGCGGCAGCGGGTCAGCCACTCTCCAGACATCAAGTAGGTGTAACTTAAATGCGATTGTAGAAATGTAATTATTATTATTATTTGATTTGTTTGCAGCTCAATGGCAAGCAAAAGATTGCGCAAATGGCACGCGGCGGCAATGGACGCAAGCAGGTCATAAGTTGGATGGATGCACCGGACGATGTTTACTTTAGAGCGACAGATGTACACAAGTGAGCGCAATTCGATAATTGTTGCACAATAGCGATATCTAATCTCTTCTTTCTTGTTGTCAATAGAAAAACACGAAAAATACTCTCAGCTGTGGATCTGCGTCGTGCGGCGCGCAAACCATGGCGCTCACTGCCTATCAAGTCAATGGCCCCCGAGCCGAGCAGCAAACCTATTGAATCACAAATCGTTATACTGGACTGACCGTCTACGGCAGATACAACAGCATCAGCAGCAACAACAGCGACAAAGTTGCTGTCATATTCAGCCAACAGATTCGAACAGCAACAGCAGCATCCGCCATTTCCATATACAATGGATGCATTGCTAAACTAGTGTGACCCAGATTCTGTCTTTTAGTGGCTTGCCATGTACATACATACATACATACATCCCCTGCATGCATACAAACAAAATACATACATACAGACCCGCATACATATACATACATCTAGTGTAGGCAACTGTTGCAGCATCCACTATACATATGAAGTTGGAAACCATTTCACTAACAGAAAACCAACAACTGACAGCAACAAGAAAAACACTTTACTAGCGCTTAAATAGATGTCTTTTTAAAAACAAAACAAAAGAAATAGTAAGATAATAAGTGTTAAGATCTAAAGCAATAGGAAACACAACGCGAAACAAATCAAATATTTATTCATAATTTACATAATTTTTACAATTTTTATTTAAATCTCAGTATACCGTACACAAAAATTAACTTCACTGCAATTTTGGACATGTATGAGAAACTCAAGGAATAATAAGTTCATTGTTTCTATATTAGTTTATGTTTTGTAAGGCATTTTTTAATAATTCTTAAATATTATTATTTTTTTTGCTTTGTCTAATTTTCATAAGCATACATTTGTACATTTGCATGGTATGTACACAATGTATATCATTTATTTTAATTTGTCTAAACTATTGTAATTGCTACCATGCGCCTTCTGGTTCCAAAAAATCTTTCCTTTACTTTTTTTAAATTTTGTTGAGCAAATGTTTGTTGCATACTAGCTAAAAACCAGATACGTAAATTTGAAATTCAAAGGCCTCTGTAATTTTTAAATATTTTTCATTTAAAATTTGAATATGCAAATAATAGACGAAAGATATCTGAAAATTTATTTAATGCTTTAAGTATGAAAACAAAAATTGGGAACTAACCTTGTTAATAAATGTGACGTGCAAGATTATTTAAAAAATTAATTATATGCTGTAACTTAAAGCGAAAAACTACAAACAAATTGTACAGTAATTGGGATAAAGTTTATAACTTTGAATACAATTTATTTTCATAATTTATATACAAATTGAAAATTAACACTTTCAAAGCGATAAATCATAGACAACACACAACACGAACACAAATATAGCATATTATTTACGCCTATAAATACATAAATAAAAAATCAAAACCACATTATATACATTTATAAATGTATTGAGTATAAATGATACCATAACAAACAATTTGGCAAATGACAAGTAAAATCTATAAGTAGATCAGCATTACAAAAAACAAAACGAAAAAAAATGAAAAAATGAGCAACCACATTTATAAATATATTGATTATAAAGAAATTCTAATTGTAAGCCAATCTATGTATTTTTAACTTTACAGTTTAAGTAATTTTGTAAAATAAAAATTCTTTAAATTAAACAGTTTAAGTAAAAGAAAAAAGGAACAATAGCAGCAAGTGTCAGCAAAACCGACCAAGACAACAAATATTTGATTAGATCTAAAAAGTATGCAGTATAAAGTTTAAAAACCGAAGGTCAAGCAACAGAAGCAAATCAAACAGAGCTAAATACATCATATACAATTACCTATATATATATAAATACATATATGTATAATACATATTATGTACGCAGATATATAGAATAGTACGAACTCTGCGCATTGCACAATACAATACGCATATACATTTTTACAGAGCTGAACTCTAGAAACCAGCACCGTTTTTAGCGGATTGGGGCGGAGACACGAAACCGAAAAGTTTTCCAAATAAAGTTTTAAAACTTACAAAATTTTCCTTAAAAAAACTATTCAAAAGAAAAACTATTTATTCACATGCAACAGTTAGTGCTAAACAATGTTTGTAAAATTGAAATATTACTCCCCAATATAACTGGCAATGCAGAGCGAGGCGTTGGTGCCACCAAATCCAAAGGAATTCTTCAGCGCAATGCGCTGTGACTGATCCTGTGACCATTCGCACGCTGTTGTCACGACATTCACATCCACATCCAATTGATCAATGTTTATTGAGGGCGGCAATCGGTTTTCTGCGCAGGCGTGCACTACAAAGAGCGCTTCCAGATTGCCCGACGAACCAAGCAGATGACCATGTGCGCCTTTGGTGGAGGACACAGACACCTTCGCAACATGGTCGCCAAATACGCGCCCAATGGCATGCGCCTCAATGCGATCGCCAGTGGGCGTTGATGTGGCATGCGCATTGACATAGCTAATATCCTGGGGCGTGATGCCGGCATCGGCAATGGCGCGTTTCATGGCCAGCGTTGCACCAGTACCATCCTCGCTCGGTGAGGTAATGTGATGCGCATCCCCGGACAGACCATAGCCCAGTAGCTCTGCCAATATGGGCGCTCCACGGGCACGCGCATGCTCCAGCTCTTCAAGAAGCAGCATTGCGGCGCCCTCACCCATCACAAATCCGTCACGCGCTTTATCAAAAGGTCGCGAGGCCACAGCCGGGTTATCATTGAACGCAGTGCTGAGGGCGCGTAACCTACAAAACCCGGCAATCGATAGGGGGTCTATGCACGCCTCCCCACTGCCGGCTAGCATTATGTCAGCATCGCCGTGGCGTATAAAACGCAGAGCATCCCCGATGGCATGGGCGCCGGTTGCGCACGCTGTTGAGACGGAATGGTTGGGTCCTTGCAAGCCATGACGCATGCTAATGTGTCCACACGCCATGTTGGGCAGCAGGCGCGGAATAAAGTAGGGACTGACACGATTGTAACCGCGCTGAAGCTGCTGAAAAGCGCCATAGACCTCCGCCAGATCGAACATGCCCATGCCCACGCACACGCCAAAACGTTCCCGCTGCTCGCCGTTCAACCCGCTGGGCTTCAGCTTTGCTGCGGCCAGCGCCTCATCCGCTGCAATAACTGCTAATTGTGTTGCAGGACTCATGAGCTTTATATCACTTTTGCTCAGATGCTTGTCTATCTGGAGGCGTTCCCTCGGTATTTGTGCCGCCACTTGACAAGGCAGTCCTTTGAATTCCGCACCCAGTCTGGCAATAGCCGAATCTCCCGCCAGCAAACGCTGCCACGATTCGGTCACATTATTCCCCAGTGGCGTGACGGCGCCGCTACCTGTAATAACTACGCGTCGGCGTGCGGCCTGCGTAGATGCGTTGCGTAATTGTAATAACAAACGCATGTTGTAGCGGCAAACTAAACACAAAGCGTGCGCGAACAATAACATCGAACAGCTGATGTCCAATGAGGAGTTGCCACACTGTCATCAGTTGCCGTATGTTAAGGATGAGCAAGAATCGTGCTTATACTGCCCTTCGTGCTATTATGGACATGATTAAATGCACGAAGAGCTTGCCCTGATTACACGAATTAAATAAATGAGAATATAACTATAAAATAAAATATTAAATAACTAATAATAAAAGTATTGAAAACCTTAATTGCACTTAAAATATTTAAGTTTAAAGTCATTTATTTTTAAATAAAAACATTAAATAAGAAATATTTTTCATTTTTAAAAGATACGCAATTTGTTTACTAATAAATCCGAGTTAAAGAAAAAATTTTCAAAAATTTGTTGTTAAAATTCATTAAAACCATAATTCACAATATTTATATCACTTATATACTGATAACAACAACAAAATAAAAGTACAAATTTGTTTATTAATTTGTTATCACACGAGCCGAACATCAGTTATATTATCATGATGTTTGCAAGTTTATTATATACACAATTGTTTGTGTGCATGTACATATATAAATTCTGTTTTAATAAAAGGTAAACAACAAAATTTCTCTTGGGTAAGGCGTGTGTCTGATAAGTTTGATGAAAATACCACATACTTACACATAATCTTACACTTGGTTTATACACGTAAGTTAATCTAGGAGAATCTTCAAGAGAGCATGATGAGAACGAATTCACATACATGTACAAAGCGCTCGCTCAGAACCGGCCGATAGCAAATGCATATATTTAAGCAAATACTCATTCGCGTGTGTTCCAGTGCTCTGCTGTTCTTTGATCAACAACAACGTACGAAAAATAATCTACTTATAATGTCAGAAAAAGGTAAGGCTCAATCAGGAATATTTGGTATTCTACTGATAACTATTAATCCACATTATAATGAACGCTACTGATATGGATAATTTCTAAGCTTGTTGCCATGGACCCGGTTACGCGACACCGCTGGACGCCATGAGAAGTGGACCTCGGGAGAAACTACTTTATACGGTGACAATTCAACCCAACTTGGATGAGCCGCATGGCGATTATCTGTCTACAATCGATGTGGACCCTGATAGTCCCACATATAGTCAGGTATTCAAATAATATGAATCGATAGAAATTAAACAGTCAGTTTTTAATACAATTTGTTTATTTATAGATCGTTCACCGCACCTTTTCGAACCAAAAGGGCAACGAGCTGCACCATTCGGGCTGGAATGCCTGCTCCAGCTGCTACTATGTGGACAAGAATGCAAAAAGTGTGCCGAAGAGAAATAGGTTGATATTGCCATCATTAAATTCCGATTTCATTTACATACTCGACGTGGCGACGGATCCACGCAAGCCCGAAATTATCAAGATTATCGACGGAGACGTACTGAAGAGCCACAATGTAACCGCACCCCACACGACCCACTGCTTGGCCAATGGCAACATAATGATATCGGTAATGGGCGATGCTCAGGGTAATGCAAAGGGCGATTTTATTCTATTTGATTCCGATTTCAATTGTGTTGGCACCTGGACGAAAGGAGATCGTAAAGCGCTGTGCGGCTATGATTTCTGGTATCAGCCCTATTATGACGTGATGGTATCATCCGAATGGGGAGCACCCAATAAGTTTCGACGGTTTGTCATTTGTGTGTTGTGTGCCCAGCGCCATGTATTTTAAATTGTGCAATATTTTAGTGGTTGGAAAGATGAGGATTTGGATGACAAGACGCAGTACGGCTTCAGACTAAACTTTTACAAATGGTCGACGCAAACTCTATATCAAACTGTTGATCTGGGACTCGAGGGCGCTGCACCATTAGAGATTCGTTTCCTGCACGATCCGAAACGCCCGGATGGATATGTTGGATGTGGTTTAAATGCCAAGGTGTTCTATTTCAAGAAGAGAAGCGACTCTGATGAGTTCGATGTGAAAAAAGTAATTGATATTCCCAATAAGCTAGTGGATACTGGCAGTGGCACTGCCTCCGAAATGGGTGGCATGATTTCAGATATAATAATATCGTTGGATGATCGGTTCCTCTATGTCAACTGCTGGCGACATGGTGACGTTAGGCAATATGATATCACCAAACCAGACGAACCTAAACTCATCTCTAGAATCTGGCTAGGAGGCGCCATATGCAACGATCTTCCGAACGTGATCGTAAAGGAGGATAAAGAATTGACTGTAGGTTGGCTGAAAAATTTATGAACGGCTATGACTTATATTGTTATTTTTGATTTAGGAGAGGCCACCTCCACGCTACATTAAGGGTCGTCGCTTGGAAGGAGGACCACAGATGATGCAGCTCTCTCTGGATGGCAAACGCTTATATGTATCCTCTTCTCTATATTCACCTTGGGATAAACAGGTGCACACAGACCCAAGGATTTAATATTACAGTTCAGTAAGATTTTAATTTATTTTCTTTGTCATAGTTCTATCCAAGCATGGTGTCTAAGGGCGGACATGTGTGCCTCATTGATATCGATGTGGTCAACGGTGGCATGACCCTAAATGAGGATTTCTTTGTTGACTTTGGAAAGGAACCATATGGACCAAGCCTTCCACATGAGATGCGCTACCCGGGTGGAGATTGCACCTCAGACATTTGGCTAGTCAATGATTCGTAAAATGTAATCAATGAATCCAAGCTATTAACTTTTATTTACCAAGTTGCGCAAAAAATTAAATATTTTTTATTCTCATCACGTACAGTTGTCTACATTTGCTACGAAGCGTCAGCACCTGATGCATTTGTCTAAATTCCAGTGAATATTAATGTAAAATATACTCAAGATAACCGATCGTATGTTTCCCCGAAAAAGCTTAAGCTATTTCAAATTGAAAATTGTTGGAATTAGTTTTATTTGTTTGCAAGCAATGTGGCAACGCCACGAAATCCATTTCTAGCAACGAGTTGGCAGGCCGGATATTTTAAAATTTCATTTTATAACGTCTTTTTGTCAGCATGTAAGCTTCTTATTTCAGCTAAAATAAGAAAGGGGTTATTGGTAATTCATAAACTGTGGTCATTATTGTTTCAATGGGTAGGTTCAAAAAAGAGTAAACACGTTGAACGCTGAAATTGAATTAATTGAGTTTAATTTGTAAATATGAACACAAATGTGTAAAAATAAAACTCACTTTTTATCGCACGTATTGTTTATAAATGACTTGGCCAAGCCATTCACTACATGACGCTGGAAGATCATGCTGTGCAACAAATATGCCAGGTTGGGTGGCATAAGCAGCTTACCCCAGGGTATGCGCTGCGCAGCAGCCATCAGCCTGTTGTGGCTGGCATCCACAGTACACAGCTGTTGCCACAATACTTGAATTGCAGTGACTACGGCCAAGCACATGAAGCTTAGGGGATTGCGATTGAACAGCCCGAGGGAACTGCCACTTAGGAACGCCGCCAGTAAATTGGTGTACCTTAACTCCAATCTGCTCGCCAGCAAACATTGTACGAGCTTGAATCAAAAGAAGTGGGTATTATTGTACTCGAAATTTGACTTACAGCCAATCCTACTTTGTATGACGCCATATAAGCTAGCATAAAGCCTGTAGACTTGAAGTTGAGATTCTTAAGTTCCATACGCAGTATGGCATTGAACACATCTAAGCCCAAACCAATGCCAAGATAGGTGCGTAACTCCAGTAGGGCCTGCTTAAGACGCCGCTCCAAGGACCACTCGTTATAGTCCAGCGGCACCCGGGCCGGCTTGATGAACCAGAAACCAGAATAGCCATGTGCCTGTTGCTGCCGCAGTACCACCAGCGAGCACAGCATGAATATCAGCGTCTGAGCAGGTCGGGAGTGCACCAGGCTCACATTCAGCTGACGCAGTATGCCCTCCATAGCCTGGAATACAGAAATAATCAAAGCAGGTCTTACAAGTAACAAAAATGTCCATCGAACCAGGGTATCCTCCAAACATATTATCGGTTACTCCAATGTGCTTGCCCAATTAGGCTAAATCAATCTTTACCGAGCTCATAATTAGTAATTATTATTTAAAATGCGGTCACTTTACTTCACTTTAGCTAATTTTGTGAATGTTTATAAAGACCCAAAAACAGTAGGAGAATAATCTTCCTATGAGTTGATCTCAAATTGTGACCGTAGGAAAGATCTCAAGGAAGACCATGAATAATCTACTTGGCATATTTGATGAGATGCTCTCCCTCTGGGGGATATTTACATATTTGCCCGACCACTAGTGGGCTAGTCGGACATTGCACAAGCCGAATATACCCTTAACCACTTTGTGAACAGAGTATGCGAAACAGTTGAGCCCACACTTACCGCATGCGTGACGCCCGTCACATAGAACTGCAGCACTTTGGGTGGCGCCCACCAGGTGATCTGCGATGCCAGATAACAGGGTATAAACGGAGTGTAAAGGTAAATGTAACGTCCGTTTAGTCGCCGAAAGATGCATAGCAAGTAGATTGTGAGGGCGTTTATTGTCGAGACGAAATGCGTCGTTTCCAAATAGTTTTTCACTGTAGCCCACAGACGACTTTTAGTTTGCCGGCGCCAATTTAAAATTATCGGAAACTGCAGCAAAAGAAAAGACAGCATTGAATGGGGTATTCTCGATTGGGGGAGATTGAGGGAGTGGACACACCAACAATTCTGGCAAGTAATATTTGGCACTGGACACATGATTGCGATACAGATTCCAGAGCAGGGCCTTCGTGCAGCTCTGATCCGGCAGGCTATGCAAAATGTGTCCACAATGCAAGCGATTGAGTGGAGGCCCGAATAACTTGCTGGGCGCAACCATTTTGCGGCGACGTTACCTTTACGACTGACTCCCAGCCAGACCCGCAGTTGCCTAGAATGCGGCGCTACACGAGCCGCCGCTGCGGTTCAAATTGAAGGTTAATATGCAAATGCCATAGTTAAAATGCATTGCAATATATAAATGCATATATTTCGATTTATGTAAAGCGAGCTAATTACAGTAATAATTAAAATCAGGCCCAACTTCCAGCCAGCTGCAGCTGTTCCAGTCGCTTGCCAATGTTGCCGGCACTGTGTCCATTTGAAAGAAAAGGAATCTTTAAGGGCAGCAAATGATGAAGTCTACGAGAGAACTTACTAATTAGCCGTGGTGCTGTCAATAATGATGCCCGTCAAGGCGCTAACCCTTTTCGGCTGGAATGCATATGTGTGTATTAGATAGGCCAGGGCCAGGGGATACAGTAGATCGCTATAGCCGAAACGTGCTTTCCGCCGTTGCCTGCTGACCCCGCCCCAAAGCGTGCGACCCGCCTCCAGCAGCGCATAGCTCAGAATGGTCAGTTTTGGACAGCACACAAAGCTGACGCCGGCAAGAAAGCTGGACAAGATTTGCTGTCGTGTTTGGCCGACATCTGCTTGACTTTGCATAGAGCATAGGGTAATCTAAAAAAAAAAAGAAAATGCTTTTAATTATAAGTGCTCTAAAGTGGTAGAGTGAACGACTAAGCGATACCCAGTAATCTTTACTTTTAGTCTCTTATATTGTTTCTTAATTTTATCGGGACGGGAGAAGTGAAATATTCTGGATGTATATTGGGTGGGTGGCCGTATTCTTCTACCTCTTGCATACCGCATTTCTGACAAATCTTATATACCCTTTTGTCAAATTTCAGTAGGTATAGGGTATAAATATAGCTGTGTATTACCCGATAGATGCCCACGTAGCAGCCCAGCCAAGCCATAGATTCCAGTCGCAACTGCTTCAAGTGCCAGTGACCCGTTTTCACGCAGCCCATCACCGCCTTAAAGATGTCCAGGGCGAGGCCAATGAGCAAATACTTACGCATGCCCTGGACAACGTATCGAGTGCGGTCCAAGTGGGTCTCCGGATGCAGGCAATCGGGCGTCAGAAACCAGAAGCCATTGTGCCAGCAGCGCTGCTTGCCCAGCATAATGATGGAGCTGCAGCCCATGAAGAGCAGCGTTTGCAGCCAACGAGATGTGGCCAGCAGTTTGGTCAGAGGATTGGCGCGCTGCACCAGCAGGCTTTCGATCAACTAAAAGGATTGGATAAAGCACTCGGTGTTAACTTATGACGCACTCACAGCTTGAAAGATGGCCGTGTGCTGGAGCTGCTTCACGCGTCGGGGCATCAGGGCAATAAAAGCGCCACCCAACATGGCCGGCACAAAGAGCAGTGTGTGCGGCCGGAACTCGCCCAGCAGCTGGCTGCACGCAGGAGAGGAATAAGATGGGGCTGTTCAAGTGGAAAACCTATGATTATCCTACCGCAGCATACACATGAATGTGGCTATGAGGCAGCCATTGACCAATCCGCCAAAGACCAGCTGTGCATGGTACCACACTGCAGCACGGAGCAGCTGCTCCGCTTGGACGCCACGAAGCGCCTGCTTCAGCAGCTGCAGCATGGCCACTGGCAAATAATACTTGGCATTTGACCATGTAAAGCGCCACAGATTGTGCCAGGCGGCACGCGCACAGCTGTGCGGATGCAGCAGCTCATTGCAGCTGCGAGAGCTGAGCTGCTCCACAAAAGCCCGCTTGCTCGGGGCGACCATTAAAACACGACTGAAAATAGGTGACACCACCGACACCACCACCTGGCTGCGTACATAATGAACTGTTATTTAATGTAACATTTGCATAAATTCCAAATACATATTCAATACAATTGTTCGTGACTGCTGCTAACGCGCACACGGCTAATTCCTTAGTTCCTCAGTCCACCTCTTCGACGGTGGGTCCGCTGCTGCTGCCCGCTCCTGGTTTTCCTTTGGGCGGCTGACCGCCGCCATGTAGCTTGGACATGATGGGACTGCAGACGCGCTGGCATTCCTTCAGATGATGCTCGTATTCCTCTTTTTCGGCCAAAGTGTTGCTGTCCAGCCAGGCGGTCTCTTTGCTGCACTTGTCCCGCACCTTCGATTTGTCGGCCTCGTCCAGAGTGCCGGCGGGTGCCTCATCCACAGCCTGCTTGCAGCCATAGATGTAGCCCTCGAGTGTGTTGCGTGCAACGACACGCTCCCGCTGGCGATCGTCTTCATCCTTGTATTTCTCAGCCTCGGAGAGCATGCGATCAATCTCAGCCTTGGACAGACGTCCCTTGTCGTTTGTAATGGTTATCTTCTCGGACTTGCCCGTGCTGTTATCCTTAGCGCTGACATTCAGAATGCCATCGGCATTCAGGTCAAAGGTCACATCGATTTTGGGCACGCCCCGTGGCGCTGGCGGTATGCCAGTCAAATTGAATGTGCCCAGCAGATTGTTATCCTTGGTCATGGCGCGCTCACCCTCATACACCTGAATGGTGACCGCGTTCTGGTTGTCGCTGTACGTGGTGAAAGTCTGCTGCTGCTTGCAGGGAATGCGAGCATTGCGCTCCACCAGTTTGGTCATCACACCGCCGGCCGTCTCAATGCCCAGCGATAGCGGCGCCACGTCGACCAGCAGCAGATCCTGGATCTGTGAGCTGCCCACGCCTGTGAGTATGGCCGCTTGGACGGCGGCGCCATAGGCCACCGCCTCATCGGGATTAATGGACAAATTGAGCTGCTTGCCGCCAAAGAAGTCCTGCAGCAGACGCTGGATCTTCGGTATGCGCGTGGAGCCACCCACCAGGACCACATCGTGTATGGCCTTCTTGTCCATTTTGGCATCGTTCAAGGCACGCTCTACTGGCTCTATGGTCGAGCGGAAAAGATCCATGTTCAGCTCCTCGAAGCGTGCACGCGAAATCTTCGAATAGAAATCGATGCCCTCGTGCAGTGCATCAATCTCCAATGAGGCTTCCGTGCTGGAGGAGAGCGTCCGCTTAGCCCGCTCGCAGGCAGTGCGCAGCCGGCGCAGAGCACGCACATTGCTGGTAATGTTGCTTTTGTGCTTCCGCTTGAACTCCTCCACAAAGTGATTGACAAGCCGGTTGTCAAAGTCCTCGCCACCCAGATGGGTATCGCCCGCAGTGGCCTTGACCTCGAACAGCGAACCCTCATCGATGGTCAGTATGGAGACATCAAAGGTGCCGCCGCCCAAATCAAATATCAACACATTGCGCTCCCCCTTCAGGTTCTTGTCCAGGCCATAGGCTAAGGCGGCAGCCGTCGGCTCATTGATGATGCGGAGCACATTCAAACCGGCTATGGAGCCGGCATCTTTAGTGGCCTGACGCTGTGAATCATTGAAATATGCCGGCACGGTGATAACCGCATCCTTCACCTTGGCGCCCAGATAAACCTCGGCGATTTCACGCATCTTGGTCAATACCATAGAGCTGACCTCCTCGGGTGCAAAACGCTTACGTTCACCTTTGAATTCGACCTCAATTTTTGGCTTGCCCCCATCGTTGATCACCTGGAAGGGCCAATGCTTCATATCCTCCTGTATCTTACGGTCATCGAACTTGCGGCCAATTAAACGCTTCGCATCGAATACCGTATTCTTTGCATTCATTGCCACCTGAAATCGTATGGGGAATATGGGCGTGGTTAAGCAATTAGTCAGCAATATATCTATTTTTAAGAGGCCAACTGTTGGGATGTTCCCCATATATTCTGTTGAATTTAATATATTTATAAACATATGCAAACATATTTATAAAAACTTTCCTATATGTAGATGTGTATATACGTGTTTCAATTAAATTGCTTATAGACGCAGTCATATGTTTGGCAATACATAAATACAGTAAAAGCTCTTGAGCAAAACACTCACGGTACAGGAAGGATGAGGATTGCTTAACCGATATGCCAAAGGAACAGTAGAAACTAAGTATGGCTTTTCATGTTAATGGTAAAAAATTTGTAGGATTGATAACTTTATAAATTTAGATTTAAAAATAGGGTTTTTCTATTTCAAAGATCAATTTTTTTCCATTCGAAAATTCGTGTCTGCATCTGCTCAAATAAACGTCCGTCGAATGAAGGTCGATTTTTTCGAAAAAGTAATGAAAAACATTGGGACTGTGGACCTGCTATTCATTATTAAAGCTTTCACTGTACACACACATACGTCCATATACATGCTCTATGCTCATATTTGGCCAATTATGGCCAGCCACATTTGGTGTCAAGTGCAACATGAACAACGGCCACTCACCTGATTCTTAGCGGCATCGCCAATAAGGCGTTCCGTATCATTAAAGGCCACATACGATGGCGTTGTGCGATTGCCCTGATCATTGGCAATAATTTCCACTTTATTGTTCTGCCAGACACCCACGCAGGAATAGGTGGTGCCCAGATCGATGCCAATTGCCGGTGCTTTAGCCATGTTTTGTCCAACACTAATCCAAGCGCTTCGTTAAAGATGACGTCACAATGATCCGCTTGCTGCCACAGATGCCGCCCAACTGAATCGTGTGCCCGCACAACTCTCGGATTTTTATGGTGCAATCTTTGCGCTAGTCGCCTTCACAGATTTTTTGGCAATTCTACAAAACGAGTCTAAATGTGTTTTGTTTTTTTCTTTTTGTTATATGTAATTTTCACACGCCGACAATTTTGATATGGTTTCGTATTTTGGAGATTTTGACGTTTGTTCTAGAAAGTGTTGATGCTGACGTTTGGCGTTGCGTTGACTGCGCTTTGAGAAATTGTTTTTGGTTCTAAATTGATGATGACGACTTGGTTTGGACTGGTATAAATAGAAACACAGGTACAAATATTTTTGCCCTTTTACAATCGTGCAGTTGAGCCGTATTTGTGAATGAAAGGTGTGTATGAAATCTCAATCGAATGAATTTTACATATTGTTGTTAGTTTTGTAAATAAATCAATACAGTCATACTAGATTCATATTTATATTTGATAGTGTTTCTCAACGCTTGCCCTTTTTCTTTTTCTTTTGTCCATCCGGCCAAGGAAAACCACGAGTTTTTAGCACGTCCTGCAAATACATCAATTATTTAAATGTAGATTAATTATTTCTTTTGTTATCCCACCTGCACATTGTGGCACACATAGTAGGCATTCTCCATTGCGGCATCATTGAATATATCACAGCCAATGGACTTGCCCACTCCACCTTTTTTCTTACTGCCACCAACGCCTTCCTTCTTTTTCTTATCATCGCCTTCGCCACTTCCCGCGTTGCTCGATGTAGAATCTTTGCTATTTCGTTTCTTTTTACTTTTGCCGGCCATTTGAAATTTTCGAAAAATACCGAGGCTGCCCCATCGATTTAATAAAAAAAGCTGCCTGGCAACCCTTTACACTGGCTCCTGATTGGAGTGCCGTTTGGGAGGTTGTCGCGCTTTACAGCACTGTCCATATGGCGCTTTTGCTGACCAGCTGGATTACTTTATTTATATGTTTACAAATGTACAAGAATCAAAACAAATGAAACGACAAATGCAGAAATGCCAATTTTGTCAACAATTATAAGCCTAGAATTCATGTTATTTCTTCTGTTAACACATGCGTTCAGTGGTAATGGAAGTGGATATATGGAATACTTAATGCCTATTAATATGTTCAGTTTTCAGCAGCCTTTGAGATAGTCAATTACCAAACGACAAAATATACGTATCCAGAGCATTGGCCGCAGGAGGCGGCTGCATCTGACGCTGCCGCATCTAAGAGAGAAAAGCAAACTGAACCGTCGGATAGCTCCTTTAAATTTGACAACGACGATGAGCTGCAGTCTGGAGAGACAAAGTCCCTACAAGAGGGCGCCTTTTGCCGGCGCAGCTTTGATGGACGCAGCGGCTACTGCATCCTGGCTTACCAGTGCCTTCATGTTATACGCGAATATCGCTTGCACGGCACACGTGTTGACGTTTGCACGCATCGTAACAACGTGCCGGTCATTTGTTGCCCATTGGCCGACAAGCATGTTGAGGCACAGCGCATAAGCGCCACAAGTAAGTTGGTCCAGTCAGTGTTGCCAATTTAGATATTTCCTAGCTGAATTTGGTAGCTTTAAGAGGTATTTAGCCCCTTTAAGATTATTTAGCTATTTTTTAAGAATCTTAATTATAAGTAGTAGCATCCCTGTTACTTGTTAATTTATGCTCAGAGATCTAATTTAGCCAATTCTAGCTAATTATAAAATGTGATTTAGCTACTTTTTTGCAGCGGCAAAGTTGGCAGCACTGGTCAAAAAAAGTATTTAATTTTAATTGCCTGTCAATTTTTAGAATGCCAGGAGTATAACAGCGCCACCAGGGATCTGCGTCTGAGCGACACTGGACGCGGCTTCTCAGGCAAACAGTGTGTGTCCAGTGTGCCGTTAATAGTGGGTGGCACGCCCACACTGCATGCCCTTTTCCCACATATGACTGCACTGGGTTGGACGCAAAGCGACGGTGCAATCAAATGGGGCTGCGGCGGAACGCTGGTCAGTGAGCTTTATGTGCTCACGGCGGCACACTGCGCCACGTCGGGTAGGTGAGTGGCAACGCCCCAGAAGACCCGACTTACATTATTTTTTTCATTTTAGTAAACCACCAGACATGGTGCGTCTGGGCGCACAGCAACTAAATGTGACCAGTCCCTGGCAGCAAGACATTAAAATACTTATAATTATACTGCATCCAAAGTATCGATCGTCTTCATACTACCATGACATAGCGCTACTCAAGTTGACCAAACGCGCCAAACTGTCGGAGCATGTGCGTCCAGCCTGCTTGTGGCAAATGCCTGAACTGCACATCCAGTCTGTGGTAGCTACTGGCTGGGGACGTACTGAGTTTCTAGGCGCCAAGTCGAATACGTTGCGACAGGTAGATCTGGACATGATAAAGCAACAGCGTTGTAAGCAAATCTATCGCAAGGAACGACGCCTGCCAAATGGGATCATTGATTCCCAGTTTTGCGCTGGCTATTTGCCGGGCGGCAAAGACACATGTCAGGGCGACTCGGGCGGACCGCTGCATGCCATATTGCCCGAAAACAATTGTGTGGCCTTTGTCGTGGGCATAACATCATTTGGCAAATTCTGTGCCTCGCCTAATGCACCAGGCGTCTACACAAAGTTGTTTTCCTACCTGGACTGGGTGGAGAGAATTGTCTTTAAGAAGCATTAGATAATATAACAACTATTCAATTAAAACTAAAATCGAAGTAATTTTTAATTATAATCATTATTGTACTGTACACATTTTAATATTTCTAGATGAAAAATGTAAGCAAATGGGCACTATCCGCTCTTATGCCACTATATTCCAGGGCGTAAAGCTGCCCGCCTCTGGCATTTCAAGCTGAAATGCATAAAGAATTAGTTAAATTCAACTGAGTGGAACGGACTAACCAGTTGAGTAAATTGATCCTGGCAGGCCATGCGTATGCGTGCCGAGGTGGCAGGCGCCTCCAGATTGAATTCGGGATTCAAGCCCTGCCCTGAGCGGGCCGCGGCAATGGCTTCTTTGATGGCAAAAAAGGCTGAACTACCTATGAAAAGCGGAGGTTCGCCTACGGCCTGAAAGTTATATAAATGCGATGTAAATATATGTATATATATACGGATGGGTTACCAAATGACTCACCTTTGATGAATAAACAGCGCGTGGATTGGGTGCGCCGGTCAGCAGGCTAACATTAAACTCGCCGGGTATATCCGCAAAGCCAGGCAGCTTGTACATGCCCGGTCCGCGTGAGTAGAGCATGCCCTGCGGCGAGTACATTAGCTCCTCGAGTGTGAACAACCCGTAGCCCTGCATGAAGGCGCCTTCAATCTGACCAATATCAATGGCTGGGTTAATGCTTGAGCCAATGTCCATGACAATGTCCGTGCTGAGCACCTGGTGATCGCCCGTCAGGCAGTCAATCTCCACGACAGACACGCCCACACCATTTGTATAGTAGCTGTAGGTGCGCGCATTTGGATTTGTTACCGGATGATAGCCTATGTCGGGTATAGCATAGAAACCTGTTGCCGATAGGCTGACACGATCGAAATATGCCTTGTTGATCCACTCCTGCCAGGTGCCCGTGGGCAAAGCCTGCTTAATTGGCGCCAGACGCTTGTTAATCTTCTCGCAAGCATCGAGCACGGCCATGCCGTTCAGATCGGACCCAACACTGGCCGCCGTGGGCGAGGTATTGGGCACCTTATCCGTGGACGTCTCCGAGATGTGTATTAGCTCAATGGGTATGCCCAGCGCTCGGGCAGCACACTGAATCATCTTGGTATGCAAGCCCTGTCCAATCTCCACGCCGCCATGCGACAACAGTACGGAGCCATCTCCATAGATGTTGATAAGAGCGCCACCCTGATTCAAATGCATGACGCCAAAGGAAATGCCATATTTGGTGGGCACCAGTGCTATGCCACGCTTGCGCCAGCGATGCTCCCGATTAAAGCGCGCTATCTCCGCATGCTTCTGGTGGTAGCGCGACTGCTGGAGGCAATCCGCAAAGCAGCGCTCGATGGGAAAACGCTCCAGCTGCTGATTGTAGTGTGTATAGTCGCCGGTTTTGTAGAAATTCAGCTGCATCACGTCCAGCACATCACGGCCTACGATCCGGGCCACATCCCTGATAATGTGCTCGCCGGCGAACATGCCCTGGGGTCCCCCAAAGCCACGAAAAGCCGTATTCGAGGGCAGATTGGTTTTGCACACCCAACCGCCCACACGTACATTCGGGATGCGGTAGCAGTTCTCAAAGTGATACATGGCGCGCTCCAGGACCTGTTTAGAAATGAGGCCAGTGAGCATATATCAAGCGAAAGCATGCCATGTACTACTCACCGAAAAGGACAAATCCATGGACCAGCCGGCATTATTGTAGCACTCAATGTCACAGGCCGTGATGAGGCCCTCACGGCTGAAGCCCACTTTATATTTGAAGAGGAACGGATGCCGTGTCCCGGTGATGAGCATATCCTCATCACGATCCAGCATGCAACGAACGGGCCGACGCAGGCGGTAGGCAGCCAAGGCCACGGGCAATGCCACCGAAAGGCCACGGGATTCCTTGCCACCGAAACCACCGCCCAGACGCTTGGCGCGGCACACAACCCGATGGGCAGGCAGATGGACGACATGCGACACCAGCTTTTGCACCTCCGATGGATGCTGTGTGGAGCAATACAGTTCCAGTTCGTCGCTGTCACGCATCACAGCCACCGCTGCATGAGTCTCCAGATAAAAATGCTCCTGGCCGCCCATGCGGCAGCTGCCCTCGTGCACATGATCCGCCTCGGCAAAGGCCGACGCCACATCGCCTTTGGTCACATAGCGTGGATAGTCGGGATAATACGACTGGTGCTCGATGGCCTGCTCGATGGTGACAATCACTGGCTGCAGCTCATCATACTCCACGCGCACCAGCCGAGCGGCGCGTTGGGCCAACGTTTGATTCTCGGCAGCTATGGCGCCGACAATTTGGCCATAGCAATGCACCTGGCCAGCGGCAAAGACGTGCTCATCATGGAACACCGGGCCCACCTCGTTCTCGTGCTCTGTCAAATCCTTGGCGCTGAAAAAGGCATGAACTCCGTTCAAGGCCAACGCCTCGCTGGCATCCAGCTTGATTATACGGGCGTGTGCCTTGGTGCTCAGAACAAAACCCAAATATAGCTCGCCATCCATGCGTGGTATGTCATCCGTGTAGATGGCCTCGCCAGTGGCCTGCTTCAGGGCAGCTGCATGCACCTTTGGCTTGCCAATCGGATCCTGAATGGGCTGTTCGCTGGCGACACGCTCAAACAGCTGGGCGCTGCGCAAGACGGGAGTGTGAAAGCTATCGGCGCCGCTCAGCTCCGCCTTGGGCACAGCATCCGGCGGCATAATGCCGGCATCGCACAGCTTCCGGCTGATGGCCAAATACGATTTGAAGAACAAGCTGACAACCAGGGCGCGTCGATAGGCTATCATGCCGCCCGGCGCCGAGGCGTCCAAGGGCAGTTCGGCGCACAGGCTTTCCGCCACCCGCTCGACCAGCGCTTGATTCCACGACTTACCCACCACGAGGTCAGAAGTGCGCGGCGCCAGCACCGTGGTGGGTGCCATGCCACCGAATGCCATTTGTATGCGCTGCACCACATTGGAGCCGGGCTCAAAGCTGACATTCACGGCCGCATTCACGATGGCTATGTCATCGTCACGCCGGCGCGCCTGCTTGAATGCCACGACATGCTGATCCGGCTTGGTCTTCTGGAAGTGTATGCCCAACAGAATCTCGTGCGGTTGAATGACATTCCGTCGATAGCCAGTAAAGAAGCCGCTGCCCATGTGGACCGAACGCCTGCCCTCAGCCAGACTGGCCACCTCCAGGCGCGCACCAGCCGCAGTTAGCACGGGATTCATATCGGAGATGGGACTTCCGGTCATGATGTTGCCGCCCAAACAGGCCACATTGCGTATCTGTTTGCCGGCAAAATAGTGCAGCATGTCCACGGCGCATTGGAAGAAGCGTGTCTGTGACTCCGGCAGCTCCTCGATGCGCTTGCGCAGATATGCATCGATTTCCATGAGGCTGACGGCGGCGCCAAAGTAAATGCCCTCGTCCGATTCACGCAGCTCCAAAAGCTCGGGCACTTTGATGGGATTGATGAGCACGGGATAGAGGAAGTGCTTGAATTTAACCTCCACGCCGACCTCTGTGTTGCCCACAATTAGCTTGGCAGCCGGATGGTCAGCTTTCAGTTGGAGCAGCTCCTGCAGTTGCGTAGGTCGATGCCAGGCAACACGATCCGAACGAAAGATGAGGCTCTCTTCATCGTACGCCGCTGTAAGCTGCAGCTCCGGCGGAAAGATAGGCTCCTGACTGGGATCAAAGGGCTGAAATTCGCTGCGCTCGAAGAGCGTGTCATCAGTTTTAGCCGCATCTCCGCCATCTCCTCCGCAACCATTGCCATTTACACGACAACACTTGTCACCCATGCCGCAGGCAAACTCCTTGGTGAATGTCTTGTAGCCCTCCAATATGGGGCGATAGCCGGTGCAGCGGCACAAGTTACCCTGAAAAGCCACCTCTAGGTCGCGCATCGAGGGCTGTGCCGCATTGCGCAGCAAGGCATACATGGACATCACAATGCCCGGCGTGCAGAAGCCGCACTGCGAGCCGTGTGCCTTGGCCAGACGCTCCTGTGCCGGATGCAGACGTGTCCGCGTGCTACCAATGCCCTCCACAGTGGTCACAGCGCAGCCATGCATGGCGCACACTGGCGTCAGGCAGGCATTAACTGCCAAATGGTGAATCTTTTTGCTGCTGCGCTCCAGCCGGGAGATCATCACGGTGCACGCACCACATCCGCCCTCGCCACAGCCCAGCTTGGTGCCGCACAGGCGCAGCTTCTCGCGCAGGTAGGTAAGCAGCGTGCATTCCGGATCTGGATTGGGATCAATTACCTGTCAATTTCAAATATATAGAAGGACGTAAATATTTCGTTTTTTCTACTTATGAACAACAAAAATCGCATATGTCAATTTCCAAGTTTGGTGCTTCGAGTATTTGTAATTAATGCGAACCTCTTGAAATCAATGAATAAATATTTTATGCAAAATAAATATTTTCACATGTCGAACATTAAATTAGTTGATACAGTTTTTATCAAGGATTTATGCCAGTTTTTAAACAGAAATTGAAACTATTTTTTTATAAGCCGAACCTTAAAAGGGTTTAGCTGGACAAAGAACAGATGAACCTGATGTTTTGTTTTTATTAAATTAATTCTGTTTTATAAATTGTAGAACATTTTACAAGCAGGGTTCTAACCAGAACCTGGGTTCATAATTGTAAAAAAATCAGGTGCACGTGGCGAACCTAAAGGCGAGGTTCGTAGTTCGAACCGTGAATCGAACCAGCGAGCTTTGTATGCCCTAAGCCCATTAAAAAGTGCTAAAAAAGGGTAAATTGTATTTTTTCAATGTAACAACTTTGTAAATTACCCTTTTAACTGTTACTAATCAATAAAAAAGTTAACGGGTGCACTGGTCGTGGGTATCCGACTAGGAGATACCCTATTCCTAGCTACGAGCTGTCGTAAATGATTGTTACCAAAAATAAAGCTTTTTATCTCGGCTTTTTATGCTTAATTTAATTAAATTAATTGTATCATGATTGCATGTATTGTTATTATTTATGGAGAGAGATGCCTCCTGCTGCTAGTTACGTGTATTTGCACAACCACATTATACCCTTTTTATACCAATTCAATGGGTGCAGGGTATAAAAACAAGTGCTTATATAATTTTTGACTGACAACACAAGAGTTCTCTACTAAACTAATACAACCGGTTTCGACTTATGTACTATGCCAAGTTTTATCAACATAAATATGTAGCTTTCAAAGATAGAGGAACAGGCAAACATGGAACTCAGTTGGTCGTTCCGTTAATAATAAATATATGTATATAGATATACATTGACTTTATAGGCTCGTATGCAAATATTAGCAACTTTATAGTCAAAAGAGTCAGAGGTAATTTTAACCAAAGAATTATATATGTATATTAAAAAAAATAAATTAAAAATAAACAAAATATTTATAGTCGGCACCCGCGGCGTAGGCAAAGTTTCATTAACCCCTATAAAATTTATTTAAAACTGACAAATACCTTAAGCAATTCACAATTGAAATATGAAAATTACAATTCGTGTAAGAATAATAAACTTTTGAAAATAAATTTGGTTTAGTACGTTGCATCGTTTTCGAGCCTTCAACTTTTCAAAAGTTCCACTATCTGCTGTTATCAGGCGAGCCACTAGAAAAACAACACGCGCGAATTGATTGCATTTGTGCTTAGTACTATTATTATTCTGGATGCATACAAATATATTGCATATAGTATATACATTGTTTTTACTTGCTAAACACTATTTACGACACCTAGCCAAATAGAGATAGAGTTCTTAGTTGCATTCAGGGATTTGCATTTATTATTATGTGCAGCAATTTACCCGTTTAATGTTGATGAAGACTATTATCTAATCGAATGTTTTGTTTTAAAATAAAAATGCATAAAATAATCTAATCGTGTGATACGTTTTTAAATGAAATATAGTTTAATTTAGGATACAGTAACAACTTGAAAAACTAAAATACTTGGCTATGCCATAAAAAGTTCATATCTTTATTATTGCTGAAACACGCGCAATTGCATATGCTTTTAAAAGGAATTTTAAAACAAGTTGATAAGCTGTGACGATGCCCCCCACTTGGAAAAAACAATGACCCCACATTGTGGGTCAATTGTTATCAGCAACACAATCGCAATCAATTTAATAAAAAAAATCGCTCGATCTGCTCAATTGAATGAGAAACATGCTTTGAATAACTGGCATTGGAATGCAATTAAAAAAAGTGTCGTTGAAATTTAAATCGAAATGGATGAAATTCGTTTTTTTTTTTACAAATTTGTTTGTATGTCGACGAGAAATAATATCAAAACACTGTCACAGTTTAAGAAAAAAAAATGTATATTGTTGCTTAAACCAGTTTTTGTTTTTACCTTTTTTCCGTTTACAAAAAACACTAAAACTGATGTTGATGTTGTTGCAGTCTTTGACATTGTGCAGGAAATATATGTGTATACTTTAAAAGTTATTAGTTACTTTTGTAGATATATAATCGTTCTGGGCGCAAAACTAAAACGATAACTAATTGCCTGTTGCCTGACAGTTCCCACACACTCACAGACACGACCTGCTCGAGCAAGTAACGAATTCGTTCTGACGCTGAGGCGCGGCAATTCCGAGATTAGAGCCGAACGACACCACTTAACAGGGTCGAGATTGTGTCTCATATGAATGGAGAGGTTTCATCAAATTATATTGCACAACCGAGTGGTTATCATCTACCTGATAGGTAGCTCGTTTAAAAGTAATTAGGCGCATAAATGTTCCCCTAAAAAGGCGGAAAATATAATGTAATTAACAGAGGCAATAACAATTACTAACAATATTCCCTATAACAGCAAGTTGCAGGTGTTTTAAATATATCAGTTGGTCAATTCGTTAAACAAATTTACATAATTTATTACTCTTAAACTAACATACACGTATATATGCCTCAGGAGTTGTTTGAATATGAGACAGCCAATACACATTTGTATTTTGCACTTAAATATGTCACAAGTTTAGCTTATTGCGCTAAGGTGCTTTAATGGTAAAATAAAAGTATTTCAATGTTAGAAATCTAGCAGAAATTTACATATGTTAACATATGCAAATATGTACATATAAAAAATGATTCAGCTACAATTTTTCTTAGTGTATCTAGAGGTTTACACTGTTTCGTCGAAATATTTATATATGTATCCATAAGTTGAATCAGTGTTACGCAGATTTAATATCCAAGTCACGCTCTACTGTTGTGCCCTCGTATAAGGCCTGCCGGCGCATTGCCTCCCGCAGTTGCTGCTGCTCAAAGCGCCGCACCGACCACTGATACCTGTCGAAAAGCGTTTGATAAGACTGTAGCGCGCTCAAAATCAATCCCAGTAACAATGACAACTCACCTGCATGCCATCCAATAGACCATTGTGCCACAAAAGAAGGAGCCAAAACCAATATGTGTGGCCAAATGGGGGCGGGAGGTGCCTAAAAATGCTAAAACACCGACTCCTATGCCGCCGCTGATGCCATATAAAAAACTGTTACGAAAGCACGGTATCTGCGCTACATCGCGTCCAAATATAAAGAAGCTCTGCCCCGCAAAATACATAAATTCATTTTCATTTCACATTAATTTAAAATTTATAATTTTATTTTTAATATCACCTTGCTTGGCTCCTCTACGTCGTCTGACATTGTTTATAAACTAAAACTCAATTTAAAATTTTTTCAACAGCAAAATGACTACAAAACGCGGCGAACAGCTGTTTATGAACAGTGTTGCCATAATGCGACAAAGTAAAATAAAAAAATGGTATGTCAAGCCGCTGACATCATGCAACAAATGTTTATTTGGTATAAATGCTTGAGTTGAAAAAGATTTCGCGTAATTAAATTTGGTTGATATTAATGTAATTAATACCTTTAAAAAGCATTATGTGCCAGCAAACATATCATGCACCTTTATACTATGTGCGCAACTCATTCTGAGTTTATAGGCAGCACTGGTGCACGCTAGCAAGAAGAAGCGAACGCTCTAGCTCAGTTTGCCACAATCACAATTTCATTCTTTAGTTTTTTGGGTTTTCCGTTACAAACAACACAAGAAAGAATAAAAACTATCAAATGCTAAACAAAGTAGGCCAAAATACACGCAGCTGCAAAAGTTTTACGTCAATTAAAGGTCTGTGCGCATCAATAAACGACGTTCAGGTAAGTGCATTAAGTGCATACATACATATATTCAAGTATAGAATACTTGTATAAGTAGCTGACGAAAGCAAAACAATCAAAATGATGTGCTGAATACCTTAGTAAACTTGAGTAACTGAATATAGTTTTGGTGTTTTTACTCTACCAATATGTCATATACTGACTTGTAAGGACACTAGGCTGTGTATTTAGCATCAAGAAACATGTACACGTACGCAGAATCTTTGAAATTTTAAGTTCGTGATAGGAGGTCGCCTGGAATTATCTATTGGTACCTCTCAGCTAATCTCTCTCTCTCTCTCATTAATTTCTAACTTACAGTTATTTACCGAAAACGGTACTCACAACAACAACTGATGTCCGACCAACGTTCACACACAAATAATATACATACAAAAGATACGTAGATACGTGGGTGAAGCAACAGCAAACAAACTGAAACCGAATTTTAAACCGTAACCGATTCTTCCAAGCCAGCAGCTGTGCACACAGCTCTACGTCACCTACACAAACACACATATATTTGTATAAATATATATATATATATATATCCATATATATATATATATATATTATTGTATTCACTCACGACCACCGATTGTGCACACATGGATTTATCAGCATCAACTTCAAGTGACTCGACAATGGGTACTCCGGAGCAGAAGAGCAAATCGTATATTGGCGATAGCACGTTCTATGACAGTGCTCTGGATCATCAGCTATCCACAACCAACTACAGATCCTGCAATGGTAAGTTGGGAGTATTTTAACTGTTGTCAGTTGGCTCTGCCGCTTCATTCAACAGCTTTAGTAAATTATTACACGTGGAAACATGAGCGATTGCAACCTGGAGGCAGCCACTCAACAGGATCAGGCCAAGCCTGAGAAGTCGCTTCCAGCTAACCCGCTGCAACAGCCCAACGCACATGCTGTTGCTCTGCAGAATCATAGTGAGCTGAAGGAACAGCAATCAGGTCTCAAGAAGCAGCTGAACACCCTGAAACTACATTTCGCTGCGCTCGGGATTGAAAATGATCATTTGGAGGAGCATATAAAAAAGCTGGAGCAGCAGAATCTACAAAAGGAGTGCTTTAACCAGAACATCAAGGCACAGATCTTGAGCGCTGCAAAGCGGGCGGTTGGCAACCAAACGCGCATCGCGTTTCCTCAACAGTTTCTAGTCCAAATCTTCGAACCCTTTGCAGAAGATCAGAATTTTATGGAGCACTGTGCGCAAATAGATGGCGAGATAGCCAAATTAATGCACAAGCTGCGTCTCCAGGCATACCAGGCACAAGAAACTAAATTTAGGAGTGTTATTAGCAAAAAGAAAACCAACTTGCAAACACAGCTTGTGCATAAATATGAAGCGAAGCTGGTCAAACAGGAGAGAGCCCATCAAGCAAAGGCTTCCCAACTGAAACACAAATGTTTCGAGCTGCTGCAGCAGTGCCTAAGCGAGAACTGTAAAGATGCAGAGTATATAAAGTCGTATTTGACTGAACTGAAAACCCTTTATGAGCAGGAGACACATAAACCCTAACTTAATCCCTATACAATTTGCATATATATTTATATTTTTTTATTAATCGGCACATTTATTCAAACCCACAGAAAGCCTTAATGGAGACTTAAATCAAAGCGCAGGACACACCAATTATGCACACAAAATGTTAAACGTCGAGAATTTTGATGCCCACAACGGCAATGCCATGGGCAATGGGAACGAGGCAGCTAATTATAATACCTATGCCCCGCTTTCAGCTGCTCCTATCTCGCACACACCTAATGCTGCGGCCATAAATGCCAGCATGCTGTTAATACAATCCGAGAGCACAGATACGAATACATCGCAGGAAGAGGTCGATCCAAAGTCTCAGCTGGCCAATAAGACAATATTTAAGACCGATAATCCCAATTTGTCAATTATAGAAATTAATGAGAACTCCATTAAGGAGGAGGATCTAGAGAAAGAGGTGGTGCTAATCGAGCGCCTCTCGACCGATCATAACGACGAGGCCGTCGAAAAGTTTAAGAACATACTGAGAAAGTCGCCCAACAAAGTGCCGGACATTGCAACAGAAAAGCGACGCCGCAAAGCCGACACCCTGCTGCAGTCAAGCAAACAAAAATTGGACATATCTATAGCTGAAGCATCCGCAGCAGCGGACGGAGTCAGCGACACGCAACTGCAGTTAGCGGAGCCAGCGGCTACATCGAACAGTGATCAGCCGCAAACCAAGCGCGAAATCGTCATCTACGATACTTTGGAGGAATTCGATCAAAATTTACCCTCGACGGTTACCCTGTTGAATACACCATTTGGCAGCAAGGTCTACCTTGTGGGAACGGCACACTTTAGCGAGGAGTCCCAGGATGACGTCTCTTATGTGAGTCCAGCTGTTTAACCAATTAAATACCTGCTAAATATCTTTCTCCTCGCAGGTCATTCGCAATGTCCGTCCAGATGTGGTCATGGTTGAGCTATGTCCATCCCGTGTACACATACTCAAGCTCGATGAGAAGACTCTGTTAGAGGAGGCCAAAAACATAAATATACCCAAGGTATTTAACATGCAGCACTTTTATATAACAGGTTTTTAATTATGTAATCATTCTGCAGATACGCGGCATACTCCAGACCCATGGCTATATCAATGGCATCTTCTTTATTCTGCTGCTGCAGATGAGCGCACAAATTGCCAAGGATCTGGGTATGGCCCCAGGCGGTGAGTTTCGACGCGCCTTCGAGGAGATACATAAGCTTCCCGGCTGCATTTTGCATCTGGGAGATCGACCCATACGCATCACACTTTATCGTGCTTTGCGCGCCCTTTCGTTGTGGCAAACCATGAAACTGGTTTGGCGTCTGACCTTTACGGATAGTATCAGCATTGAGGAGGTGGAGGAGTGCAAGCAGCGTGATCTGCTGGAGAAACTAATGCAGGAAATGGCTGGCGAATTTCCAGCCTTTTCGGATGTGTTCGTACGCGAACGAGATCTCTATTTGTGTCACTCACTGCAATTGGCTGCACTGCCGCAGGCGGCGCCAGGTGCCCATCAGGTGCGTCCCGTGCGTGTCGTTGGCGTTGTAGGCATTGGACATGCCAATGGTATTGCAAAAATGTGGGGCCAAGTGGATCCCGAGAAGATACCGGCCATACTTGAAATACCACCGGCCAGCCTCAGTCAGCGGCTCTGCAAGAATACCCTCAAGTATGGCCTCATCGGACTGGGCTGCTATGGCGCCTTTCGTTTTGTGAGGCCGCGTCTGACGCGTTTCTTTTAAGTTGATTGTGGACCATGTTTCTCGATTTTGTTGACTTTGTTTCTCGATTTTAAGTGACACGCCCGCATCAATTATGGGCGTTGACGATATGATAAGTATTGTGAGTACTTGATGCTTTTGATAGAAAGTGTTTACAACACATAAATATATATATATATGTGTGCAAATCAAAAAAAAAAGACATTCAAACATATTCCTGGTTTTAAAAACCCAACAAACAAAATACAAAACTATTGAAAAGAGAATTCATACGCACATGTACATACCACTATATAATGTACTTGGCTTGGATAAAGACACTGCGACTGTGAATACGATTATATCAATTCAGATTCAATTGTTTTACAAAAAGATTTAATTTTAAATTGTCAAAACATCACACACTCAGAATTAGTCATGAGTCTTATTTTTTTTAAATGTCCGGTTAATTAAGCTTCGTAATTGCATATGTACATGGTTTCCTGGCAGGCTTAGAAAAAACCTAACTAAAAAAAAAACAATTTAAATGTTAATTGTATAAAAAAAAGAAGTTATTTTTAAACAAAGCTCTAAATGTGAACGTGCCCGTGCCCGTCTGCCTGAAGCAGTTACAATACTTTATCTTCGACTTAATCTACGTATGTAAATGTTGTTCATTCCGTAGTAAAAACTCTGAAAATTTAGATGGTAACGCTTAAAATTAAGTGTAAACGTGATGGACCTTCGATATTGAAAGTATGACCGTGTGTTAAATGTTGCATATTATATTGACGACTTTTACAATAAAAAAGAAAAAACAAAAACCTACCTAGAAATACTTTATTAACAATAACCCAAACATTTGAACTGTATCGTAAAAATGGTATTACAAATACAAGCCAAATTGTTTTTGACTCTGCGTAGTTTGTGCTCATTTAGAACTGGTGTTAAGTAGCATTTTAAATAGTATACCACCCGAAAAAGTTTAAACCTTTGTGTAAAATTGACTCAAATAAAAGTTTACATACCCCAAAGAAGTGTTTTTCATTTATCGTCATCTTTGAATTTCTAAGCACTTGAACTCTATGCACCAGATCAAAAGTTTTAATATATGAGCTCGTATTTATTTCGGAATGGCCAAATATTTTAAAAGAATTAATATCCTTTGGTTTTTTTTTGTAAAAAATGGGTAAGCGTAGCTCCAAGATGAAGGCAGTAAAATAGTTGCATGACGGAAATTCGAATAATTATAAAATCTTCGGAAAGCACCTGAATTTCATAAATCAAAAGTATATATATATATGTTATGTTAAATAATCCTGCTCTCATAAATCAAAAGTATATTTATGTAATGTTAAATAATCCTGCTCCTAACTAATAATTATTTCGCAATAATATCTTCTAATTCTTCTATACGATTGTAGGGTAATATCATATAAGATATTGACTGATACATGGAGTTTTTTTCCTAAAAATGTTTTTGAGTTTTTTCTGTATTTTCGTAAGCATCAAACTAACTGTTAGCCGGTCTATTCATTTAACTTTTTTCTTGAATCTTACGAATTTAGATAAGTATTTTTTGACGATAAAATAAAATAGAAAATATAAATGGTACTGTTTGACCTTTCCCTGAACATGTATATATGTATATATATTTGTACATCTTTCGATCTTATACAAGTTCATAAGAAAATTAGGCAACAAAGCTGACATCTAGGTCTGTACAGGAACTCACGCTTGGCTCTAACTTAACTTGACTCATATTCCATTTAATTCCACATTATTCCAATGCCTCTCTCTGGTAAACTAATTATAGCTGGTCCAGTCCTGGCGTGGCTTCATAGTTCAAACCATTGAGCAGAACTGCAAAGCGATCCGTTCCAATTTATTTCTTAATATGAATCGAACCTTAAACTAAATCAGTCGCTTAAGCTAGAGTGCAACCGAAACCCAAACCAAACCATATTTATTGGGCACAGGAATGAGGAAAAACAGTTAACGAACCAAAGGTACAGGCAGGAGGCTAGCTCGAACCGCGAATCGAACTACTAACCATTTTAGAAGGGTTTCGCAATACTGCCATTGAGAGATGCATACATACGTACACATATGACACATATATACTTATACACTGCGTTTGTTTTTTTTTATTATGTACTTTAAACGTATCTTAAGCACTAAACGTCTCTCTTGTGTGTTGCTTTTGTATGCCATGAATCTTGGGTTTTTGTTTTTCTCACTTTTCTATTTGTTTTTTTTTTTAAGTTAAAATTTTCCAACATGTTTGTGTGTGTTTTTTTGTTTTGTTTTTGTTTTTGCGCTTATATGTAGGTAACATATTTTTCTCTTACAATTTGCTGCAATACAAATAAAAGTCTTAAATTGTAACTGTAAAATTCTAAATAGTTACAAATTATATACTAAATACATACGTAGTTAATTTTGAGGCGTGTTGTGTGTGTGTGTGTGTGTGTGTAAGTGTAGATGTGTGTGAGTGTGTGGGGGAAGGGATTCTCCTTAGGTTCTTTTTTCTTTTGTTTTCTTCTTAGTTTTTTTTTTTTGTTTTTTGGGTTGGTAATGCAAATATGTATCGTATTTTAAATTAAAACTTAGAAACTTGGAAAAAATTCAAATCAAAGGCTGGGCGCAGTTGCACACGCACACAGGAGCAGCCGCAGGACAGACGCTTCTGCAGTTGGATGTGGCAATTGGCAATTGTTAATTGTAAACTGGCATTATAACAAATTATAAACATATGTTTTATCCAATTATAGTAGTTGACTGCCACTCGCCCTGCCCTGTTGTGCCCACTCCCTGTGTGAGTTCCATCATGTCACACGGCGGCCCGTTGTCACACCAGTTTTTGTGGCTGTTGTTGTTGTGGTTTTTTTTTTTATTTTATTTATTTATATTTTTATTTTTGTTTGCCTCCTTCCAGCAAGGATGCAGCAGCCTACGGTGTTTCCGTTGACTCGACCTTCACTTCAGATTTAATGCTCGATGACAGATGGTTATTAGGGTCGGGCGCACTCAGGTGCTAAAAGCAAGATGTAAAACGAATAAGAAAATCAAATTCATAATAGTTACGTACACACTCATGTACTATGTATGTATGTCTGTATGTATATAGTAGCATATATAATGTGTATGTATATATTTATTAGAAAAAAAAAAAAACAAAAAAAAAGGTGTTAGTAAAACCCTAGCCTAGGCAAACAACAACTAATGACCAATAACAATAACAACATCAACAACAACAACAACAACATGAAACAACAATAACACAAGCTAGACCACACACATACACACACACACACACAAACGCGCACAGGCACATACATTGGATTACCACACACAGTACACGGGTAAACACACATTTCGCGCGCACACACAACACACACACACACACACACAACACTCACTGTTGCTGGTGGGCGAGGGGGGTACCTACCGATTGGCTACTCACAATTCCGAGCGGCAATCCACCAACTTGGGGCGACAAATGTGGCACCGTTGGCACAGCTGCTGCATTCGGTGGCGGTACCGGCGAGGGCAGGAGCGCAGCAGCCGCTGCCGCTGCAGCGGCCACAGCGGCAGCAGCTGCTGCCACAGTGTTGCTACCAGCGGCCGGTGGCGGTATCAAAGCAGCGCTGGTTGTGCCGCCGCCGCTGCTGCTGCCCAGATTTGTTGTACTGTGGGGACCATCGTGCGGTGTGGTGCTGTGTGCCCGATGATGCAGTGCGCCTGTATAATAGCCGCCATTTAATCCTGTTTTGTATTTCGATTTTGTTTGTATTTTTTGGTATTTAGGTAAAGTTAATAATATGTTGCTGTTTATCTTGTTTGTTTTTTTTTATGGTATTTTTTTTTTTTTTTTTTTGGGAAAGTGGGTGTTTAATGTAGGGAAGTTTCAAATTATAGAGTGGTTCTCGATTTGGTGGTGGCTGCGTGTGGTCTAAGAAGTGGCTAAAGTAGCGAATGGGAAGGAGAATTGACTTCTTTATAAGCAGTCAATCTGAAAGGACCTGATATGATGCGAATGAGTTCAGAACAGGCGCCTAAACAACTTAACTCCCTGATCAATTATGGATGCGATATTTGCCTTGCCTTAAAATCTACAAATACAAATAGGCTATCAATTCCGTGGGCCGACAACGCTCATAAATTACTGACATTCGATTTACGCAACAGATCACTTACTACATTTTTAAGTCTATATACTATAAATAGTTTTTCGATTAAATATAAAGCTTGCTCTGCTCTGCACTCAATGATGCCATCATCCCATTGAATAGAAAATAATTAAACATAAATTATTTAAAAAATTAATTAAAATCATATAATTATACTTTTTAAACAATTTTGCAATAATGCGCCACACAAAAGCAACAATAGTTGGTTCTTTAAAGTTTTTCTTTTATTTGTTATTTTTTTCATTGTTTGTTTTTAAATTTTTTTTCGAATTTGTTTTCTGGAAAGGTTTTTTTGAAATTAACTTGCTCTGTTTTTATCAATTGTTTTTTTTTTGTTTCTTGTTTAATTTTATTTAGCTTTCACAGTTATTAAAAATATTTTTATACATTACAAAATAACAGTATTTTATTCTTTTTGTCTCTTTACTTTTACTTTTACGCTTATTATTATTAATTTCTTTCTTTTGCTCATTTTCATTTTGTAGCAGCTTGTTATATATACTCGTAGGATCGTGTGTGTTATAGATGTGTGTGTTGGGGTGTGTGTCTAGGCTTCAGTTTGTGCGTATGTGTAGCTATATATATATATATTATATATATTTATATATTTTTATATATATGTATATATATATATATATATATATATATATATATATATATATATATATATATGTATATATAAATATTTATATATATATTAATATTTGTGTGTTTCTATGCGTATATGTTTTGTGCTTGAAATTTAACAAATTTTTATTGCTTTAAGACAAAACAGAATACATACATAATGAAAAAAAACAAAAAATTTGATGCGTTTCTGATGAAAGTGAATATTTTGGTTTTCTTTCTTTTTTTTATTTAAGGAATATTTTGTAAGTTATGCTGATATTGGTCTTGAGCGAAAATTAATAATTTTGAAAAAGTTGGCGTCAATTGCATTAATTGTTTAATTATTAACTTAAGCTGCAAAAATTTTACAAAATGATACTTTGCGCCGTTCTTTTTTTTTTTTTCTTTTTTTTTTGTAAATATTACATTTTACACGCTAACAATTCTTAGATATACCGACTACTCGGTTGATCATAATGTGCTGTTTTTTTTTTTTCTTTTCTTATTTTCTCCTCAATTATGTAAATCTAATTTTTTTAATAGTATTTTTTTTGTTATTTGCTTTGTTTTAATATAATTTCTGTTATGTTTAAATGTACATAGACTATGAATTAATATTACTTTTAATTTTCTCTCTTTTTTATATTTATTTATAGATGTTGTTTATGTTAACGCGCCGTGTTGTAGTTTTTATAATTCTTGTCTGCATATGTTTGTGAAGGTATTTAAACAATTACTTCCGTTCTGGTGTCAGCATATCAAAGATCTTTACGCAAGGCGAAAATAAACACGGATGATGAGATCATTTTGCATTTTATAGAGCAGTGTATTGAGCAACAAATAATTGTGAAACGCATAATTTTTACAAATGTTCAATTTGTTTCGCATATATATATATATCTATATATCTTAAAAGAAAGTCAGTAATTTATGGCGCAAAATCAGTGGATTCTTATAAATAATACGCTTTCGCTTGGTGACTACAAAACTTGGAGGCATTTGGAAGCTACAGATATATAATATTAAATTTTCTCTCGCTTGGTTAGTTAGTAAATATTACAACGTATAATACGATATATGTATATATAAATATGTGTGCTTGAACAAAATCT